TCATAGCCCTGTATTCCTATTAAATTATGTGATTCAATTCAATAATATACATGTATTTCAAATCAAAGTATATGATTCAATTCAATCATAGACCTGTATTCCTATTAAATTATGTGATTCACTTCAAACATAGACCTGTATTCCTATTAAATTATGTGATTCACTTCAATCATAGCCCTGTATTCCTATTAAATTATGTGATTCAATTCAATAATAGACCTGTATTTCTAATCAAATTATATGATTAAATTCAATCATAGACCTGTATTTCTATTAAATTATATGATTCCATTCAATCATAGACCTGTATTTCAAATCAAATTATATGGTTCAATTCAATCATAGACATGTATTCCTATTAAATTATGTGATTCACTTCAAACATAGACCTGTATTCCTATTAAATTATGTGATTCAATTCAACCATAGACCTGTATTCCAAATCAAATTATATGATTCAATTCAATCATAGACCTGTATTTCTATTAAATTATATTATTCAATTCAATCATAGCCCTGTATTCCTATTAAATTATGTGATTCCATTCAATAATAGACCTGTATTTCAAATCATATTATATGATTCAAATCAATCATATACCTGTATTTCTATTAAATTATATTATATTATTCAATTCAATCATAGACCTGTATTTCTATTAAATTGTATGATTAAATTCAATCATATACCTGTATTTCAAATCAAATTATATGATTAAATTCAATCATAGCCCTGTATTCCTATTAAATTATGTGATTCCATTCAATAATAGACATGTATTTCAAATCAAATTATATGATTCAATTCAATCATAGCCCTGTATTCCTATTAAATTATGTGATTCAATTCAATAATATACCTGTATTTCAAATCAAATTATATGATTAAATTCAATCATAGCCCTGTATTCCTATTAAATTATGTGATTCCATTCAATAATAGACATGTATTTCAAATCAAATTATATGATTCAATTCAATCATAGCCCTGTATTCCTATTAAATTATGTGATTCAATTCAATAATATACATGTATTTCAAATCAAAGTATATGATTCAATTCAATCATAGACCTGTATTCCTATTAAATTATGTGATTCACTTCAAACATAGACCTGTATTCCTATTAAATTATGTGATTCACTTCAATCATAGCCCTGTATTCCTATTAAATTATGTGATTCCATTCAATAATAGACCTGTATTTCAAATCAAATTATATGATTCAATTCAATCATAGCCTTGTATTCCTATTAAATTATGTGATTCAATTCAATAATATACATGTATTTCAAATCAAAGTATATGATTCAATTCAATCATAGACCTGTATTCCTATTTATTATGTGATTCACTTCAAACATAGACCTGTATTCCTATTAAATTATGTGATTCACTTCAATCATAGCCCTGTATTCCTATTAAATTATGTGATTCAATTCAATCATAGACCTGTATTTCTAATCAAATTATATGATTAAAGTCAATCATAGCCCTGTATTCCTATTAAATTATGTGATTTCATTCAATAATGGACCTGTATTTCAAATCAAATTATATGATTAAATTCAATCATAGCCCTGTATTCCTATTAAATTGTGTGATTCAATTCAATAATAGACCTGTATTTCAAATCAAATTATATGATTCAATTCAATCATAGCCCTGTATTCCTATTAAATTATGTGATTCAATTCAATAATATACATGTATTTCAAATCAAAGTATATGATTCAATTCAATCATAGACCTGTATTCCTATTTATTATGTGATTCACTTCAAACATAGACCTGTATTCCTATTAAATTATGTGATTCACTTCAATCATAGCCCTGTATTCCTATTAAATTATGTGATTCAATTCAATCATAGACCTGTATTTCTAATCAAATTATATGATTAAAGTCAATCATAGCCCTGTATTCCTATTAAATTATGTGATTTCATTCAATAATGGACCTGTATTTCAAATCAAATTATATGATTAAATTCAATCATAGCCCTGTATTCCTATTAAATTGTGTGATTCAATTCAATAATAGACCTGTATTTCAAATCAAATTATATGATTCAATTCAATCATAGACCTGTATTTCTATTAAATTATGTGATTCAATTCAGTCACAACCCTGTATTCCCATTAATTTTGGGATTCAATGATTACATTCCAAATCAAACTATATGATTCTATTTAATCACAGACCTGAATCTTCATCAACAAAAATGAATCGATTTCATCAATGTACGTGATTCAGTTCAGTGATAACCCTGTCTTTCTACCATAGTCAGTGATTCAAAGTGGAATCGTCGCTAACAAAAAACAAACTATGACTCAATTCATATACATTTTGTTCATGCATTCGTCTAGATAGAATGTTGTTTCCTTCATTCAGAATGTACTGGACAAACTTTACAATAGCTTTACATGTACATATAAAGATGAGACTGCTGGTATATTGTTTTAGAAATAGCTGACAACCTTTCTAGTGTGTGGACCTTTTGAACCCCTATCGCAAAAAGCAGTGCAAAAACAAGTTAGTAAAATACATGATCCCGCACGACAACATTTGTCTCGATGACATAATTTATGCATCTACTTATTATAATGTGCATAATTAAGCCCGCCAATGAACGCACATGCGTTGCGAACAAATTACGAAATCAATCAGTGCCTATCTAATGACAGAACATTGATTCATGCAAATTTTAGCAAAAATACACAGATTGGTCTGATATATCCACAGAAGATTCTCATCCACCACGAAATAAAAACTTGTCTCGAATAGTTGATAAACACGTAGTTAATGAAAAAAGACAGCAATTTATATATAAATGCCAAAGTTGTCACGTTCAGGGCTAAACAATCAAGAACAAAAAAGCCAGTACTCAACGTCAAACAACGCAAATATTTTAGTCCACTGGTGTTTACCAAATACGAAGTGCATTATATCTATTTGCTTAAACAGCAGTCTGTCAAATCAAAATGATTGGACGAATTGTATAAACTAACTGGGCATTATGGGTACGATTTACATTGTGTTGTACCGGCATAAGCTTAATTAACATTAATTAATTAATTAACAACTGCGAAAATCTTCAACGATTGAATAAAACAGCAGCATATAATAATTTAAAAACAGAGACGTATATTAGATGAAGTAAAATTCACTTCGCACATTCAATATAAATAATTTCAGTTAACTTCGCCGTTTGGTCGCTGCCCATAATGCCATCAGTCTGCATCTATGATTAAAAAAAAAACAATGTGAAACTATGCGATTGAAATATGTTAGTAATAGTAAACTTCATATAGTGGTAATTAGTGTAATTAAAATTAACCCACTTAAAATGTTTAATCAATTTAGGGGTAATATAAAAAATCTTGGAAGGGACTGCTTACCACACACGTTTGTCATTTTCTTTTGTATATTACTCGATTCAACGCCATTGCCAAAGAACGAAGACCATGCTACAAGGTTGCCTTCCTCCCTATTACACTTCATGTTTTCGATTTCACTTTTGGTTAGTGTTTTATCCCACATATTCACCATCGTCAGCTCGCCAACAAACATTGATGACGCCGGAAAAGCTTGGTGTAGCGCGCCCTCAGGCAGGTATCCAAGATATACTTCACCCCCGCCGAGGACACGCAGTTTCCCACTGTTACCTAAAATATGTTCGTCGCCGTCCACATACAAGATGAAACGTCCGTTCAGTTCCGAGTTCCACGTCAAGCACACGTGATGCCATTTCCCATCGGTAGGAATGTAGTCTAAATTTGGATATCCAGCAGGAAGGCCAAGGAATTTAATATAATACACATTATGGACGTGTAAAATCAGACCTGCAGATTCCGTGTTTGATGGGGCGCCGTCCGTGCGGCTGTAACTAAAAATCACTTCACCGGGTGTGTCAGTGGACGCGCTGTTGCTTTTCAGCCATAGACACAACGTGAATTCGTTGTTCAACTCTGGCAGTGGCAGTGGGTACTTGATAGATGATTTCCCATTGAACACAAGCGCCTGTGTTAGATAATCTGAAAACGAACACTATGATCACTCTTATTTCAAACGTAAACTTTTGTTTCAAACAATTATAAGACTAAATCAATATATATATATATATATATATATATATATATATATATATATATATATATATATATATATA